AAATATAATTAACAGCCAAATAAGTATACAAAAAGATATTCGTGGTACGCCATTTTTTCCTACTTGGTCAAGGTTCTGAACAAAGAGATGGGCACTTGGAGACTCCGCCGTGCACTGTTCGAGAACCCTGAACCGCTTGGTGACGAAGGACGACTTTGAGTTTTTTCATGTTTCTGCTTGACCACCAACACGGAACATTCGCAATGGCGTACGACATGTTCTGAAACGCTACCAAGGAGGTTGCTATTTATTCAAGAAAAGGAGTTAAGCGTAAGTTAAATTTAATAAAGGCGGAGTGTCAAAGTTTTCCGTCATTTACCGTTTGAGTAATCCGAGACCCCGAGTTCCAACTATGACTAAATCAGCATGAGAATTCTCGGCCAATTTTACTAGTTGAACCTTTGCATCACCTTTCAGAATGTAGAAATTTGAAGTGATCTATTCAAAAAAAAAAACGCGTAATATTGTAAGACACGTGACATATGGTTCGTGTATGGGAAAAAAAAAGACATGATAATTACCCCTTTGCTTGCTAGCTCTTCTGCTAAGGGCTTCAAGGTATCAGACGCATCGGAGTGTTCCGTAAACGACAATCTCCTATTTGTCTTCCTATTTTCTAATTGATTGTTGAATAAATGAATCAGTGAATAAGTTCGATTGATAATCACAGACCAATAATTGTAATGATCCATATGTGACACCAATAATCATGGCATCAAAATCAAGATTAAATCTTGGTGTGGATCATCCAGTTGGCCAATCGTTTATTATTTAGTGTAAGATCAGGCGGTAATTACCGGCATTTTGTGCTCTGGAGGTATGTGCCAACAACCACATAGATTGTTCTTCGTCCACCACGGTGACCAATGATACGTGGTCTTTATTGGGAACCAGAATGTTGTCTAGTGCATATTGAAAGACTTCCTATAACCAGGAACGATAGAAATTTTCACGTCTTCAGTCATTTCAGAGAAAAAAGAAAGAAACCGAAACCGAAACCAATACGAATACCACCAATATTGATACTGTACCTTACAATAATCCGAGTTATCGTAGGCCAAAAGAATTCTTCGCCTGAGATGAAGTTCGAGTGGTTTTTCTGGAATGGTGACAGGCATTTTTTTTATGGTATGTGAGAAGTACTCAAGTTTTTTTAAATAGAAATTTTGATTGCTTTGTTTAGAAGGGGGCTAAAGTCAAAAGAATAAATTAAAAAATTAGATTTCTTTGGAGAGATAAAATTTTTCAGATAGCCTAGGAAGGTCACTCTATTTATACCAGACGGAGGTATAACAAAATTTAGGAAGTGAATACAATGTACGTCATTTATGTTCATGTTCGAGTTATCAGTTATAATTTCCACCACCTGGTGAAAGAAAAACAGCAAAATATAGATATATTAAAAAATCGATGGATCTGACATCTATGGAAATGATCACTCTTTCTGGGGCGTGCCGAGGCAATAAAAAAGAATGGCGCCAAAAAATCATGTTCAAAATTATGATAGTATTGTGCTTTGCATACTTTAATGCACCATACTGGATACTTGCATATTGCGTATCGCAGACAAGTGTTACATTGTGCACCGTGTATTTATTTTTGGATTGTTAGTATGTTACACAAATCCAACCGAAATTGTGGCGTCTCTATTATACTAGGCATGCTGATATTCTCAATATTCCATATAAGTGAATATTAGGCATGATACCATTTTGTCATGCGAGGAAATCCTAGGACAAACTATCTATCAAAATAGTAGGATTGGTAAGATTTTTTATGCATCAAGTGACGATCAAAGTGATGACCATATGTCGAGGTTGAAAAAGATCTCGGAGACCAACTTGTTTGGCCGGCATTATCCTAGTGCCACTTGAATAACAGATGGATCTTTGTTTATGATAATTTTAATTAAAATTTAATGTAGTAATAAAAATGATACGTGCAAACAAAAAAAAAAACAAAAAAACCTAGACCCTAATTAAATAAAAGAAGATAAAAAAAGTTGAACCAGCAAGAAACATCTGATTTTGAAAATACATTGGTACAACAAACTCCCAAAAATGTCATCATACCAATAAAAGAAATTTTTTCTTTAAAATCTTGGTTACAAATTACGATATTCTTATCAAGGTCGTGACACGTGACATGACCATCTCTAGCAAAAAAAAGATGGTAAAAACATAAAGATATTTCTAGTAAGTGTGTACGCATGTTTGATGACTCTTGCATGTTTTTTGATTGATAAGTGGTTCATTCCGAATTGAAACTGGGGGTGAAAAGACATTTCTCGTGAAAAACAACCCTAGATTTACTGTATATTCACACCGATAAATTTCACATTTTCAGATGAGGTAAAATTCTCCGCAATAAAATATCCTCGTAAATTGATGAATTGATGATAACAATATGCATTCCATTTTCCATACATTTCTAAATATGGAAAATATGGTGATGAGTATAATAAATCTGGCGAGTTTGATCAGGATTTCTTATTGCCACCATTGTCTTTCTTGTAAAGAAATTCATCCGCGAATACAATGTCATGTAATGTATTCTGAGAAATGTGTTATTTATGCCATATTACTGTACCTTCCATTCAACTGTAAATCTTCGTACTTCAGATTATAACTCTTTTAATCAAAGTTACCCATCAAGTTACGAAAATTCCACTCCTAATCAAAATCGAGTCGTAAGTGATTGTAATGGCAGGATTCCTTGTGGCGAATTAGAAGAAAACCATTTGAATTTTGTTCTTGAAGTATACAGTTCGTCCAGTATCAATTAAGCATCTCTTAAGCAGTGAATTGAGACATCCTGACGGCGAGCGAATACTCGATGGAAAACCTCTGGAGATTGTAAGTACTGTATTTATTAAAACAAATATGAATTATCTCATTCTTAATCAATTATAAATTTAACCAAATAATTGGCCCGCCCGAAAGGTAACATTCGTCGCCAGAATTCAAGATATTCCACAAACCACTGATTCAGAAAACATTGTAGTTGAAGACGGTAGTGGTTCCATCCAAATTTCTTATCCAAAGAACACTGTCACCAGCAAAATTGAGTAAATTAAAAACCATCATTTAAATATTGAAATAATTTCTTAGTACACGAGCACTTTTTTTTTTTTTTCTGCTCCCTGGTCATTAATACGCTGTATACACTATATATATGATTATTTAGGATGAACAAATATGTACGAGTGTCCGGAAAATTCAATAGTCCTGATGATTTTGTTACGTATTTTATACAACCTGTAACAGATCACAATGAAATCAGCTTCCATCTCACTGAGGTTGTTCACACTCATCTCTCGTTAACCAAGGGCAAGAATAATAGAGATCTGGCGGTAGGTCGACGATAATAATTGTTCATCGTAAATTGATCGATTTGTTGGTGGTCAGTCAATTTATAATATAGATTTTTGATTAAATTCTTTACATCAGTCCCAACGTACCAGAAATATTAGTGAGGACATCCTGGATCTCATTTCCAGGAATTCCAAGGAAGATATCGGGATGTGTGTCGACGACATCTGCAAAATGTGGGCCTTCCAGCATAATTCCGATTATAACATCAGGTAATATTCATTTTTCTTTTCTTTTCTTTTTAACTTGATCACACACTTCTCTTAATGTTAGGAAACATTAATAATGCCAAAATATACATTTCACACATTTCACATGAGCGATTGCTACCTCTAATACTTAAATAAAAAGGAAAATAATCAATGACTTGGTCGACGAGGGTTTACTCTTCCATACCGCTGACGATAATCACGTTCAAGTTACCGGTCCATGGTCGCATAATCTTGATCTTCGAAGTCACTACCCTAATTTTCTTTGACCATGAGGCAAACCGCAGTTTTTGTGATACTTGTTTAACCCAAATGCTTCATAATCATTCAATATTCCATTTTTTTGTCCTTTAAACTTACTACTTAAGATGTTTTTTTAATATAATAACATTCCTTACCCTTCATAATCTCGTTATACACCAACCACTTTCTTCGCGTAGATTTCTTGTAGCACAAAGAATAGATGAAAAAATTAGATAATCCGAGCTAACGAAATTGAGTTTGCGTGATGATGTCAAGTTGATAATTCAGCAGAGCAAGTATCGATTAATTGATGATTTATTATGTCATACAAACGTAAAGTATATAATCTTCTCGAACTGAAAATTCCTGGCATGATTATGTCATGGGTTTTAAGATATATAAATATTGTTGTCGAAAGACTTTCTGAGCAAAAAAAAATATCCAAAAATCCGTGTTTCGTGTTTCAAATGTTTTTCAAAATTTTTTTCTTCGTTTTCGAATCTGTGCTGGCGGTCTTAGCGTTAATATTACCTGATGACGTAACTGAGAAATCCGTCCGATTCATTGATAAAGGCATCTTTGAAGGGTCTTTCCGTCATTTCTATATGCCAGGTAATATCGTGGCATTCGTTCTCATATCTCTCTGGTACATCGTAGTTTTGTTGTACCAGTCCATATACTACCCCGATGTTCCTGCCAATGAGAAACTCCCCGGATGGTTAAGCCTGGATATAGTCGTATTACCTTTATTGTTTCTTGGAACCATGCTTCGAATCTCCTGCTTCAAAACTTATGATCTACTCTTCGCACACGAACTTACCCCACGTCGAGAAAAGAAATTGGTTACTACTGGTCCTTACGCCTATGTCAGGCATCCTCTGCATACTGGATTCTTTCTGATAGTATTGGGAAGAATATATTTGGAATGGTGCTTAAAAGATTGGTATCCCGATTGGATTCAAAAATATTTTTGGCCAATGGTGATAATAGATCTTGTGTTAACGTCGACTGGATTGCATAGGGTGATGAAAACAGAGGAGATGACCTTAACTAGGAAGTACGGTAAAACATGGGAAGAATATGCCAGGAGGACGAAGAGGCTCATTCCAATGTTGGTTTAAAAACGTCTTAACAATTTTCATCAGATTTAGTTCTATGTTCTATTTTAAATATATTTGCATGATACTTAAATATCTTTGCACAAAAATTTTTCATTATGTTATTTTAATTGACGTTTGCTCCTATAGATTCTCATTGGGGTTATCGTAGATACTGTATTAAGAGAACATGATATATTAAGATGCTTTTGATGTTGCCAACAAGAATAGTGAGTGGGTTGTTGAACAGGAAAAATATTTTGATCAACAACAAATGTTTGAAATAGCAGTATCCTTATGTCAAAGTTTTATTTTTATATTTTCATGCATATACTGTATACTGTATGTAAATATATATCAAAGTGTTAATAAATATATTTTATGCATATACTTGTAAATAACATATTTTTTTTTACAAATAATTGATAAATGTATAATTTTTTTAGTAAAAAAGTATCGTATGAATTTTATTAATAAATTTATATGCAAAATTCAAAAATTTCAAAAAAAAAAAAATTCAATTGGTTAATTACATTGTAATACAGGTTTTGAATTTTGATCATATCAATAATTTGATGTCAATAAAATATATTGTAATTATCTTATATTGATTTTTTTTAAAAAATAAATTACATAATTATAATTTTTAACAAGTTTTAAAAATAAATATACAGTTGGTTTAAAAAAAATTATATTTCTAATTTTACTTATAATTTTATAATTAATAAATAAAATATTATATATATATATATACAGTATAACTTTATTAAATATATTCTTAAATATTCTTAAATTTTAATTAAAAAAAAAATCAATTTAAAAAAAATTATTAAAATCATCTCAATAGATACAATAAATTTGTTAAATAAGAATATATTTTTAAAAATTAATCTCCCAAAATAAAAAATAAAATAATTTTAAAATTGTTCTTTAAATATGATAAGAAACATTTTAATAATTTTTTTATAAGTTGAAATTTTTTTAAAAAAACTTACTATTATTTTTAAATAAATATATATACTGTATATACAGTATTTGTATTTAAAATTTGTAATTGTTAATTGTTTTAAAAAAATTTTTTTTCAACTTTAAATTAATATATTAAATAAATTATTAATTAATTATTAATAAAACTTAAATATATTATTTTTTTTATTATAAATAACATATATTAAAAATTTTATTTAATTTAAATTATTATTTATCAAATTGTAAAAAATTCAATTTTGATTTTTTTTAAATTAAATTGTATATGACTAATATTAAAAAAATATTTAAAATAAAATAATTTATTAAATAGTATCAAACAACTATAAATATTTATTTAATATTAAAAAAAATAAATTTTGATAGTATTAATATTATATAAATATATATATAAATTTGTATTTAAAATTTG